ATAAATAAACTGTGCCAAGTTTCATCCCATTAGGATAATAAAAGGGAACTGTATTTTGTGTACAATTTAAAATAGACAGACGAATGGACATAAATCGACTCAGAAAGTGATCCTGTGTATATTCTCAAACTGAACCCTGTGTTTATCACCTTTTCCTTTGCCTGGTAGAAACATGTGTACCATGACATAATACCCTGTACCACGAGTGGTGATGGGTATAACAAATGTACTACTGTAATTCAAAATATGTTTCCATAGAAACATATTTTCCATTAATAAAAAAATCTCCTACTAGATATTTTTCTAGAAAAAATAAAGAAATTCTAGAAAATCTCCCGCTCTTAAATTTCAAAAACCAAGTACTTCGCGATTAATATTTTAAACTCTATTATGCCTCTTTTAGCTTTAATACACATTTTTTCTGGAAACTGATTAAAGTTAGACTTAATAGTAGTAAGTCACTTACAAAGCTACTTTTAACCATGATAATTATGCTAACCATAATAATTATGTTAGTGGCCATTACCAACCAACCAACTTTGTTTGTTTACTTTTTTATTTCTTTTACTATTGTTTGTAGATATATAAACAACTCTCCCCCTACACCGCAATGCAGTCCCTGCAGCACATTGAGATTATCATAATTCATAAATTACCACGTTACCCATCCATCCATTGGCCAGTCACCAACTACCGACCGAGCGACCAAAGACAAGTCATGCTTTTGTTTATTCGCTTGCTACTACTATTTACCAAGATCTTTTGCAATACATTATTGTTATTGTTTTTATTATTATTTTTTTGATTTAATTTTTTGTTGTTGGATATGATGATGGCCTCTAGTGCAACCAATGTGGTGGAGGAGTAAGAGGTGTTTATTAAAGGTAATTTTTCTGTAGTATTTTCCAGAGAATTATTCTTGTGGAGTTTATTTGCTTTAAGTCGTCATCATCAACATCGGCAACACCATCATGACAGTCGTCACTATTCTCGTAGTTTCCATAGGCATTAGATAAAGAGGAAAACATTACCTGCCGGCGGCCCAAGCCTGACGGCATAGAATTTATGTTTTTGTTTTTAATTGGGGAGTACCAACCCCCCATTACCCCTCTTTAAGGTTTTGGTTTTTAATTCACTTTGGCACTTGGCCAAGAATGTTGTTGTTGGTGGTGGTGGTATAGGTGGCTGGTGGGTGTTACTATTGGGTGCATCGATCCGATCATTGTTGTGCACCACCACAAGAGGTGAATAAACTCTAATGGCTTGGTTTTTTGCAGATGTTTGTAGTTCTAAATGTTGGCAGTTGTTGTTGTTTTCATTATTGTAATTTGAATTAAATGTGCGGATTATACAAAGCCATCCATTACTCTAATATATTCCCCTCTCGCCTCATCCCTCTCTCTCTCCACCAAGAGAAATGACTGACATTTGTTTTCATATGGGGAATGGGGGAAAACTATTTACCATAGTGTCAATAACCTATTATTAACCCGCATTTTATTTCGCTTCTCTTCTCTTCAATTTGCCAACATAGGTTTGACAAATTGGCGTCATTTCAATTTTTTTTGGTTTATTTAATAGTGCGTATTTTCTACAGATCCTCCCATGAATATTTATAATGTTATGTGATGTTTACATTTCAAAACTATTTTTAGATATTGATTTATGTTTTGTTTTTGTTTATTCGTGTGAGAAAAATTCCCCAAAGGGTAATTCACCTTTTGCAGTTATAGTTTTTCATTTATGTGGAATAAATGTGGGAATATTTTTTTATTAATTGGAATTTTATGTTTTTGAGATAAGTAGTTTATGTATTTGTTGTTGTATTGAGATAGTTAATAGGAATTACATAATTCTGGAAAATCTAATTATTAAGTGAAGTGGGGAGACACTGCCATGTTATGTTGGCCTATCGACAAAACGTTAAAAATAAATAATTTTTGAGACACTCAAAAAAATTTCATCGAAGACCAAAGAAAAATCTAAAGATCCAAAATTCTCAAATTATGGATAATTATCCGCTATTCAGGTATAGAGTTTCAATGGGCTGATGAAGGAACATAAATCTCCTATATTCGGGTAAAGTTCGGCCGGACCTATTTATATCCCCCAGCATGAGGTGGACATTCAAAATACTAAAAATTGATTAGGTTTTTTTGCTGTTTTTTTTTTTGGCAGAAAAAAAGTGAAAAACAAAAATATGAATGTATAGCCAATTCGGTTAAAAAACCTGTCCAATATATGTATATATACCCTCAGCCTTATGGTTAATATGTGGTTGTAGAAACGGGCCAAATCCGTTGCAGATAATTTGGAATCGATTTACAAATGTCCGTCCGTTCGTCTATCTGGTCGGCTGTGGCGCACGATAACTATCGAACTCGAACCTTAACCGATTTCATCAAAACTTTACACATTTTATAATTTCTTGTAAACTTAGTTTAAGTTCGAAGATGGGGAATATCGGTCCACTCTTTCGGTAATCTCCCCCACAAAATGTTCGAAATTTTGCTAAAAAATAATTTTATAATATCATGCGAACAGACCATCCGATTTGAATCAAACTTTGTACAAGATATTATTTTTACGAAGTCTATATTAAGTCCGAATATGGGATCCGTTAGTCCTCTCCTTCTGATACCCACCCCACAAATAGTCAAAATGTTCAACATTTTAAATCTAATATCAGGCGAATGCAATGTCCGATTTGAACCAAACTTCGCACAACCTACTATGTTTACCATGCCTAGATCAAGTTAGAAGATGGGACCACTTCTACTCCTTCTGGTACCTTCCACAAAAATGGTCAAAATTTTCAATATTTATAAATCCAATATCAGCCTAACGGACCATCCGATTTGAACCAACATTTGTACAACTTATTATTTTTACCAAGCCTAAATTAAGTCCGAAGATGGGACCCATTGGTGGTCTACACCTTCTGGTACCTCCCCAAAAAATGGTCAAAATTTAAGTATTTTTAAATCCAAAACAGGCGAATTGAACGTGCGCTATCTTTACCAAGCCTAGATCAAGTCCTTCTCCTTCTTTTGTATGTCCTTTATGGAGAAGAACTTGTCTTCACTGTGAAGGTATATCCATTATAAATCCGGATTTATGTAAACAGAAGACCCTGTATATCCATTATAAATCCGGATTTATGTAAACAGAAGACCCTGTGATGATCCGCCTTTTATTAAATACTAAGGGTCAACAGATGACCTCTCAAAGATCCCCCAATGGAGAAAAAACATTCTTCTTAAGAAAAGATATTTTCTAGAGATCCACTTTGAAGAGAAAACATGTAACAGGTTTTTGAAGGTCCTTTATGGACTTCTATAAATATAAGGCGTTTTGCAGGGTCTAAATAAACGCCTATTATATGCCCTCTATGAATACTGCATATCTTCCTTCATTATATATATATATATATATATAGTAGACCTTTCCACCGAGAAAAAACTTTTTCTATAGAAACTTCTGTGTGAACTCTATAGAAAAGATACCTTCGGTAGATATCCTATGTTTAGAAGTTATACTGTAAATCTTCTCTAGTTCCTTTATGGACAGATCCATTTTTGATAGAATGTTTACTATTAGTCTTCTAGTGATCTGCTAGACTAATTATACTTCCACGGTATATAGTAGACCTTCGGTGGGTACTCTGTGAATAGAAGAACTTTTGCTGATGCCTTGTATATAATAGGTCCTTCTCTGCGTCCTACTAAAGTCTATATTTTATGGCCCCTCTGTGAATAGAATAACTTCAGCTGATAGTATATAAATTATAGGTCTTTCAGTGGTTCCTCTATTAATAGAAGACCCTATGTATATCTTTTAAATTCTCCTTTTGAAAGAAGTAATTTGTAGGTTATTATAGGAATTTGGAAGGTTCTCTCGGTGTTGTATAGACAAAAAACCCTTCTGTAGGTTCTCTATTAATCAAATACCTTCTATATGTCTTCTGTTAATAGAAGACCCCCGTTTAGCTTCCTTCTATAGGCCAATCCGGTATAGAATAACTTTTGTAGGTCTTCTACATGAAGTTATTATCCATATTTATAAAACCTTAAGTAGCTCAATTATAGATAGTAGATCCCCTGTGAATAGAAGAGTTTCTGCTGATTCTCTATAATGTATAGATTCTTCAGTGTGTACTCTATTAATAGAAGGCCCCATGAATATCCTTTTTATATATTGAAGGATAGAAAAGGTTCTGTAGGTGCTCTATTAATAGAAGACTTCTCCCGTAGATATTTACTCTGCTATAAATAATAGACACTTTTTTCCAATCAATTTTGTATGCAGATAAAAGACCTCGCCTAGCTACTCCCAGAGATATTATCCTCCATAAACTCTCCTACAGATAAATGACCTTATAGATATCCAGACTTTCCTTCCGACCAACTTTTTCTTTGGTCTGTTCCAGAAACTACACAAATCTTCTATTAATCGAATTCGTTTTTAATTTGTAATTTTGAAGTTGTCAGCTTTTTGACTCTATTCAAATAAAATTCAAAATAGTTTTTTATTTATTTTATTAAATAATATATTTTATTTATTATTTTTAATATATAAATTATAAATAAGATTTAAATTACAGCATATACATATTGGACCAATATAGTCAACAATATTTTGAACTTAATACTATTTTATAGGAAACATTATTTTGGTTGTGTGTTTTTGGAATTTTCAGAAAAGAAAATTTTCTTAAATTAAGAATAAATATTGAAACAAAAAATATGGGGTTTATAAATAATAAATTAAACAAAAAAATAACCAAATTTCCATATCATCAAAAAATCAGTTTTGGATTATATCCTTAAAGCTATGGGTTCTCCATTTTTGGCCATACAAATATTAATGCTCCAAAAAGGGAGAACCTTTTTTTCTTTCTTTTTTTAAAATTTATCACACTTGAAATTAATTATTAAAATTATAAAATTTTGGAAAAAATACTTAAAATACGATATTTTGGAAATATTCAGGATGCACCTCCTTACATGCCCTGACAGGTGGCCATACATGACTTGTAGCTGGGGAAATTATTGTCATTACCATCACAGCCGCCAAATTTAAATTCCACGCAATCTTTTTTCTGGGCATCATAACTCCAGCGTGGTATCAGGGCACGACACACACCCTTGCGGGCTGGCATACGGCAGAAGTCTTTAGGTTCACGTCTTTCAGCTTCCTTGGCACCGGGTACATCATCTAAAGACATTGCCTCAAATAGCTCCGAAACATCATCATATAAATCGTAGGGTTTGGCATCTACAGATGGGGTATGGAGACATAGCAGCATCACACAGATGACAATACTGACCACGCACAACACAGCGGAGGAATTACGAATTTTCCAGAACATTTTTGCAATAAATATTTTTTTAATTATTTTTTTGTTTTAATTTTCAAAAAACACTTTCACAATTTATGGATTATTGAAATGTGGCGCCCAAATGTTATGACTTTTATTAATGTTTTGTATAGTTTTGTTTCTGACCAATTTCGCTTGGTTGGTTTCTCTGTTGAAGTGTATAAAGCAACTGAAGCAGAGGCTTAAGCCGCATGTGGTTATATACTGTTTTTCAACTATGCAAAAAAAAATATAACGCAAGGCAGCGCAGAGCAGCGTAACGTTAAAAAACCGAAGCGAAGTGCTGTGACGTGATGTTGTAAAGGCAAGCAAAATCAACAGCCAACATATGGAGGTGATCGCAACAATGGTGGTGGTATCCACAATTAAAAGTCCCCGCCGTCGAAAATAAACAACAGTTTTACCCTAACGCCGACCCCACCACTAGGTTCCCAAAGCGTACACGCAGCAATTGCGAATATTGTTCTCAGTGCAAAAATTTCGTCACTAGTTGGGTGTTAATTACGCGCCATACGCCCTTCTGGCCCAGCAGGGTCCAGCACATTATTTCTCCGAGTAATGTGTGGTTCTCTATAGCTCTTCTCTCCATCTCTCTCTCTCTCTCTCTCTGTTTATGGCTATGGCCCACTGCACATGCGTCACGTCACATTGTTATTATTTTTTTGTTTATGGTTTGTTTTGAATTTTTCTTTCATGTTGTTGTTGTTGCGGGTTTTACCAATTTGTTTTGGCCAAAAAAAAAACACTATGGCTATGGCCAAATGGTTTGTTTTGCTTTGTGACGTCTTTGTTTATCATCGGTTGGCTGTTAAGTCAGTTATGTTGAATTTTTCTTTAGCGTTACTCTACGAAGTCTTCTGCTGCTTTGTGTGTGTATGCGGAATTACTTTGTATTTTCGAAGTTAATCATCATTGCTTTGTTGCCCATTGTACTTACCTACATACGCTGTAGTACTTAGTGTACAATACGTCATTATTTAATAGTTTTTTTATTATCGAAGTAAAAAATTTAATTGTTTTTATAAAGAAAAATAATTCCGCATTGGTTGGGGGGAAATACCAACGATTTAACATATAAAAGGGAAATATGTTCAAGTATGGGCCATCGAGTTTCCAAATGGTCGAACATTTATGAAAAACAAAAATAAAATCTAGTCCGAAAGAAAAGAAGAATGTATATAAGATATATTATCTATATAAGAGTCTATAGAGGGTAATATCTACGGAAGAAACTAAGAGGAACCTTCTAACATTTGTTCGGAAGGAAAATAAGGATGTATATAAAACCTATAATCTATAGAAGAGAATATAGAGGGTGATATCTACAAGGGAGAAGCAAGAGGGAGTATTTTATCCGCAAGAATAATTTGGAAGGAAATGCAGGTGGTAATAAGGTCTATTATGTGTAGAAGAGTCTATAAAGTGTAATATATACGTGAGAAGATAGATGGGATTTTCTATCTGCAGAAGACATATATAAAGAAGACAAATAGAGAACCTATGGGAGTCCTATCGAACCTTTTCTATCCCAGATGAATACTTTTTTCAATGGAGAATCTATGGAAGGACTTCAATATGTGGGGGATCTACCTAGAGTCTTCTATTGCCTACTAACGAACGTATAATTTGTAGAGAATAAGTTTTTATATAAGGAGGTCCCACAGAAGATCTTGTAAACAGAGAGGTCATACAAAAGACATTTTTTCATAGAAGACCTTTCAAATATCCTATGTTATGGAGGGAGGACTCATATTTATCGCGAACCTATTATTTGCAGAAAAAATTTGTGGTCGGAAGGAGATGAAATGATGTATATAAGTCCTATTATCTATATAAGAGTCTATAGGGTATAATATTGCGGAAGTAGCTAGAGGGCTCTTCTATTTGGAGACAAAACCACATTTGTTCGGAAGGAAAAGAAAAATGTCTATAAAGTCTATCATCTATGTGAGGTTGATAGATGAAGAACCTAGATGGTGTCTTCTATCTGCAGAAGACATATGAAGGCGTTTTAATTTGAAAGGACCCGACGCAGATCTATCCACCATATATAGATAGTGTGCAGGTCCTTAAGGAAGGTCATCTATTCATATGAGGAAACCTATACAAGGATTTGTATTCATAGAGAATCTTGAGAAGGCAGACGATTTCATGGAGGATCTAAATTAGGTCCCCGTTCTATTTATTTAGCCGACAGGAGGTCTTATGTTTATAGAAGACCCACAGTAGCTCCTGCCTTAATTATATATAACATATTGAGACCTATATAAGATTTTCAACTCAAAGAGGACTCAAAGAGAGAAGGTATCTTCTTTATAGAAGGTCATATAGAATGTTTTCCATCCATTCCGTCTTTGGAAGGTATTCCATAAATAGAGGACCATCAATACGGAATAGAAGTTGAACCTTCAGAAGGTCTCCTGCTTACACCAGTCATATAAAAGATATAATATTTATAGTGGATCTATAGAAGACCTTTAAAAATACTTTTATCCATAGGATCCAAAGGTTATTTATCCATTATATTTTCTATCAGTTTCATTTAGCATCGATGCAAATCAATCCTCCAGCATTTTCCCTTCTCCTCTTAACTCCGTTAATATCAAATTCACCAATTTACTTACTAGCCAAACGACTTTACAAAGTGAATAGTGGTAGTTAGAGTAGTCAGACGCATATACACATTCACAACAAAAACAGTAACAACAACGACAGCAACAATTTAATGCCTTCACCCGAACCGTAAAATGTTGAAATTATGACCGAAATGAGAGTTTAATCGAAGTACGTGAACGGAAAAATGAGAATTTGAGTGCAACTTGGGAAATGCACGTACGACGAACGAACGTACGGCGATTCACCTGGAACATCTTTTTCGTCCTTGTTTTTCTTTTTTCCTTCAGATGTTGAAATGCTTGTTTTTTTCTTCTTCTTCTTTGTTTCTTGCCATAGCTTTATTTCATCCAGAGTTTGGCGTATTGGTTGCCTATGATTTTTTTCTACCATGAATGAC